GTCAGTAAAGCACAAGTATAAATACCGTTCTGGTATTCTCTGGTTTTATCCAAGATCCTTCTGACATCAGCAATGATATCCCTGATTCTATGTCCTCGTCAGAATCCAGTTTGAATTTCTGTAAGCTCCCTGTTGATGTTCTGCTGCAACCATTTTGAAATTACCTTCAGTAAAATTTTACTTTCTTACGATACTAATGACATTTTTTATGATTTCTGCATTCCATTTGGTCACCTTTCTTTGGAATAGGCACAAATATGAATCTCTTCCAATTGATTTCCCAGACAACTGTCTCCCAAATTTCTTGGCATAGATAAATAAGTGCTTCTAATGCTATGTCAGTTTGTTGAAGATTTCAATTTGCATTTTATCAACTCCTGGAGCCTTGTTTTACACCAATGCCTTCAATACAGCTTGTCTTTCTTTAGTATCCGTTGGTTCTCAGCCGTATTCTTTTTGGTACAGTGACTTTGTATTCCTTCCATCTTCTTTTGATGCTTCCTGCATAATTTAATATTTTGCCCTTGTTGTTGTTGTTGTTGTTGTTGTTAGTGCTGTCCAGTCATCCTGTAATATTGCAACCCGAGGCTTGAATTTTTTCTTCCATTCTTTCAGCTTGAGAAATACTGAGCATGTTCCTCCCTTTTGGTTTTCTACTGCCAGGTCTTTGCATATCTCTGTAGTATAATACTTCACTTTTTCTTCTCGAGCTACACTTTAAGGTTTTCTGTTTAGCTCTTTTACTTCTTATTTTGTCCAGTTGTTTTAGCTTCTCTACCCTGAAGAGTCCCATCTGGTAGTCCATTTTGGTCTTTTCTTTCTTTCCTGTCTTTTTATGGCCTTTTGCATTCTTCATGGATGAATTTCTTCATGTCTTCCCACAACTCTTCTGGTTTGGGGTCAGTAGTATCTAATACTTCAAACCTGTTCTTGAGGTAGTCTGTAAATTCAAGTTAGATATATTCAAAGTCATATTTTGACTCGCATGGACTTTTTTCCATTCTCTTCAACTTTAGCCTAAACTTGAGTATGAGCAATTGATGATGTGTACCACTGTCTGCTCCTGGCCTTATTTTGACTGATTATATAGAGCTTTTCTACCATCCCTTCCCACAAGTATAGTCAGTTTGACTCCTGTGTATTCTATCTGATGAAGTCTGTGCTTTAAAAAGGTACTAAAGGATCTGCTGCATAGTGGTTAAGAGTTGGGCTGTCAACCTCAACGTTGGCAACTCAAAACTACCAGCTGTTCAGTGGGAAAAAAATGAAGCTTTCTGCTCCCATAAAGATTTATAGCCTCGGAAACCCTGTGCAGGGTCACAATGAGTTGGAAGCAACTCCACAGTACTTAACAACAACAACAACAACAAAAAGATATTTGCAATGAATAAGTCACTGGTTTACCAAATTCTATCATGTGATCCCCTGCATCATTTCTATTGTTGTTGTTGTCAGGTACCATCGAGTCGGAACCGACTCATAGCGACCCCATGCACAGCAGAAC